TGTTGTAAAAAGAAGATGGAGCAACAATTTTGACGGTAAAATTTCAGCGTGGGGGCACGAAGATGCACATTCCTATACATAACAACAGTATGTATCAAGACCCTCGCGGCCGCGTCGGCTCAAACTTGCAGTTCGCCAAGGCTCTTTATACCAGGTGCGGTCATCCGGCAATTTGACAGACAGGTGGTCACGTGACGTCATATTTTGCCTCTGATGTTGGCTTGGGAGTGGGTGCTATGTTGGTTGGCATGTCTGCCCCTCCCCCCGTAGGTCCTGATTAGAGGGTGTGAAGGACCTGAAAAGCTGACCGCAGGGCCGGAGCCTCAAATATCAGCAAGAGGGCCTCTTGCACCGACCGGGGGCCCTGTGGCAATATGGGGCCCTGCGATCCCCAGCGCCGAACAGTCGGCTTCGTTTCTGTCTGGACGCTGGAGCCCAGTTCCAAAGCAGGAGGAAGCACCTATTTCCAAAGCAACAAGGGAAGGACCTTCCCGGTTATCTCGGTTGGTAGAATACTAGCCCGCCACCTGGAGACCCTGGTTCGAATCCAAGCAATTTCAAGGAGAGGATTCGGGACGTGATGCGTACATGGCCGAAAGCCAAACGCCATGCAGTCCTTCCCAGGACTCCAGAACACCTGACGACGGCCGGAGAGTTAACTGACCGAAACAAACAGCGGACAAGAACGGTAGTCTGAACAATTCATTTATTCGTGTTACTAATCTTTTTGCCACGCATTCTGCGCGGTAAAAGGTTTGTGACGAACCGCGAGGGCTGGTTGCAAATAACATCGTAATATTTCTTGGAAATTTGCTCTTGGAACAGAGACGAACTTTTGTGGAATATCTCCAAGATTGTCAGATGTGTTTTGTAAAAACACCAATTTTCGGGCTGTTGCCTTCTTTGTTGGTAAGCAGCCCTTTTCATCCATATAAGCCTCTCTTTAACATGAAATAGCGCACCAGCCTCTTAAGCCTTTTGTGTTGCTACCTGTTTTTCTATTAGTTCTTGAGTGATATTTATTTTCCGGCACCTAAACCTTCTCTTTTCATTGCTTTATCAGATCAGTCTGAGAAAATCAAAAATTTTTGGCCACTCATGGTGTGGGGGTACTAGCTTTCTTCTTTTTGCCTGGATGGGGTCTTTGCGTAAATGAGGACGGGTCTTTACGTATTCTCCTCATATTCTTCACTTTTCTGCCCGAGTCACACTATCATTGGCTTTCCATCAAGCTGTCAGGCTGCCAACCCGTACCCATCAATAAGCTCTTTAGAATGTCCCAGCCGTTCCCATGATGCCCATTCTTGGCGATGGAATATCTCACAGCGTAGGCACTGCCGACGTCAGAGCTATTTTCAAACTTTGGATTTGCTCTCGGAAAACATTTTTCTCCTTGACAGCCATGCTTGAGATCGCAAAGGTGAAATGAACAGTCAGATGCCTGCCACGAAATAAAATTTACTAACCGTTATGTGATCACAGTGATTCGCATTCGCGTTTATTGTCTGTGAAGCTATACCTGCCCGACCTGCTAAGTCGGGCATACGATCAGTGCTCTGGCCGATGTGAAGCTGTGGCCCGCAACATCTCCAAACGACAACCCGCTGCTGTGGGATGAGACAACTTCACCTGGAAGGGTGCTGAGTGAAGTCACGAAGTTCGCCGCGAGATCTGCCAGGGCGAGAGAGCTCCTGACGCCTGACTAGGCGCCGACCACCCCACTCTGCCTCGCTGATCTATGTTCAGCTCCGGCCACCTGACCAGGTGCCGGCCACCCCCACTCTGCCGCACTGACCGGTGCTCAGCTCCGGCCACCTGACCAGGTGCCGGCCACCCCCACTTTGCCGCGCTGACCGGTGCTCAGCTCCGGCCACCTGACCAGGTGCCGGCCACCCCCACTCTGCCTCACTGATCGATGCTCAGCTCCGGCTACCTGACCAGGTGCTCGGTGTTCAGCTCCTGTTACCTGACCAGGTGCCGGCCACCCCCACTCTGCCTCGCTGATCTATGCTCAGCTCCGGCCACCTGACCAGGTGTCGGCCACCCCCACCCTGTCTCGCTGACCGGTGCCCAGCCCCGGCCACCTGACCAGGTGCCGGCCACCCCCACTCTGCCTCGCTGACCGGTGCTCAGCTCCGGCCACCTGACCAGGTGCCGGCCACCCCCACTCTGCCTCGCTGACCGGTGCTCAGCTCCGGCCACCCGACCAGGTGCCTGCCACCCGCACTCTGCCTCACTGATCGATGCTCAGCTCCGGCTACCTGACCAGGTGCTCGGTGTTCAGTTCCTGTCACCTGACCAAGTGCCGGCCACCCCACTCTGCCTCACTGACCGGTGTTCAGCTCCTGTCACCTGACCAGATGCCGGCCACCCCCACCCTGTCTCGCTGACCGGTGCTCAGCTCGTCACCTGACCAGGTGCCGGCCACGCTGACCTGTGCTCAGCTCCAGCCACCTGACCAGGTGCCGGCCACCCCCACTCTGCCTCGCTGATCGGTGCTCAGCTCCGACCGATGCCCACCTGAGCGACGAACGGGCCATCATTTCCCAGCCGGTCACGTTCATGTTTCACAACGCGCTGTCCACTGAATGAAAGAGAAACAATGAACAAGGACTGAAGTGACAGCGAGCGTGAGTGCCACCGGCGACGGGGGAACTGATCCGCGGACGAGGTCAGAGCTTGATCGCCATCAGACACCGCACTCCCGGCAAGGTCGGCTCGCCCCTCCGACCCTGGAGACACACCAGAGCGGCTCGTTTTCTCATGATTACGTGAGAAGGTTGCTGACAACAATGCTCCCGCAAAACAAAGAGCTGATTTCTGACAGCGCAGTCGAAAGCCATCGAGGTAAACGCTGAGCAATGGCTGTGGTGAAACACAGGATCAGTGCTTCTGTAGACAGAGCGCAGGGTGCCGCGGTTATGTCATGCCATCGTCTGCGTCTGCTGTTAATGCGCGTGAGCGCAGAAAATTTACAAGCAAAACAATCAGATGTCATTCGTAAGTAAACAAAATAAAGGCGATAGAAAACCTTGTACATTTTGAAAATGAGATGAGACTAAGTCGTCTTGCTAGCACCAAGACATTCACACGCAGTGTGATTGTTTGAATAACGAGTGAGCGCTAGAGTTTGACATAAATCTGAAAACATTATAGCTTCACAACTTACGCGAATGCGAATCACTGTAATCACATAACGGTTAGTAAACTTTATTTCGTGGCAGGCATCTGACTGTTCATTTCACCTTTGCGATCTTAAACATGGCTGCCAAGGAGAAAAATGTTTTCCGGGAGCAAATCCAACGTTTGAAAATAGCTCTGACGTCGGCAGTGCGTATGCTGCGAGACCTTTCATCGCCAAGAATGGGCATCATGGGAACGGCTGGGACATTCTAAAGAGCTTATTGATGGGTGTGGGTTGGCAGCCTGACAGCTTGATGGGAAGCCAATGATAGTGTGACTCGGGCAGAAAAGTGAAGAATATGAGGAGAATACGTAAAGACCCGTCCTCATTTACGCAAAGACCCCATCCAGGCAAAAAGAAGAAAGCTAGTACCCCCACACCATGAGTGGCCAAAAATTTTGGATTTTCTCAGACTGATCTGACAAAGCAATGAAAAGAGAAGGTTTAGGTGCCGGAAAAGAAATATCACTCAAGAACTAATAGAAAAACAGGTAGCAATACAAAAGGCTTAAGAGGCTGGTGCGCCATTTCATGTTAAAGAGAGGCTAATATGGATGAAAAGTGCTACTTACCAACAAAGAGGGCAACGGCTCGAAAATTGGTATTTTTACAAAACACATCTGACAATCTTGGAGATGTCACACAAACGTTCGTCTCTGCTCTAGGAGCAAATTTCCAAGAAATACTACGATGTTATTTGGCACCCCAACCAACATGGCAACCACTCCCAAGCCAACATCAGGGGCAAAATATAACGGTACGTGACCACCTGCCTGTCAAATTGCCGGATGACCGCACCTGGTATAAAGCGCCTTGGCGAACTGCAAGTTTCAGCCGACGCGGCCGCGAGGGTCTTAAATATACTGTTGTTATGTATAGTTGTGACTACATAGCAAAAGCAAATTGGTGGGACGGAAAAATGTCAGTAAGTTTGACCCTGTAGTTATATTCACTGAATTTTAGCATTTTTGTACGACATGGAACTCGAGAAGTGTCATTGTTTGGATGAACTCCACAGTACTCAGAAATTGTCTGTTATACCATTCGGTATGACAATTAGAATAGTTCTGAAATGCGGCGGGAGAACTTAGGCACCAGCGGAGTACACGACGTTACCAGAAGGTATTTTTGTGCCTGCAAGCAGCAGCACACTTGCATATCGGGCGCCCTGCGGTTGCAAAAGTGGTCACCAGCTGGTGGAGGCTGAGAGGTGAAGGAGTGTATCGCGCGGCCCGTTTTGCCATGCAAACACCGTGTTAAGGTCATTACATATCTATCATGGTGTGTCCCAGCTACACGTGAGGCCGGCTAGTACCGCCCCCAGTCGCGGGCTGGCAGATCAGAGCGTCTCAAGAATCGCGTTACGTCCACGTTGTGAGAAGAATTTTTGTGCCCACAAGCAGCAGCACGTTTGTACGAAAAGATTAAGGATTTAAGATTTCGGAGGAAATGTTTATTATGTGATCAATGTGCCAACAATACATAGTTGGCTGGTGGTAGGGTGCGCACTTGGATTGATCAAGGTTCGTTAACGGGACTTCCTACGGTATCGTTGCGGACCGTGCTTGTCGTCAAGTGCCTGCGGCGACGAGCGTTATACATGTAACACTGACCATACGCACACATTAGGATGACACGAGCCGTAACCCAGCCCGTGCCATCCGAACTCTGGTCACGGCGGCAGAATAATCCGAATCAAGGATGCGCAAACGATCCTCTAGCAATGCTACGGCGCTGCTAGACATGCCGTGCTGTGACAAAGGCGCAGTCCATCACTTGCGTTCGATTGTTCGCGCGGCGGCGAACATAAGGCGCCATGGTCGGCTATGAGTGCCGCGGGCGCCATGGTCGGCTAAGAGTGCCGCGGGCGCCATGGTCGGCTGTGAGTGCCGCGGGGACCATGGTTCGGCTAAGAGTGCCACGGGCACCATGGTCGGCTATGAGTGCCGCGGGCGCCATGGTCGGCTATGAGTGCCGCGGGCGCCATGGTCGGCTATGAGTGCCGCGGGCGCCATGGTCGGCTGTAAGTGCCGCTCTGCCCGCGCTGTTCGGAGCTTGACATCGCGCTGACCTGTGCGTGTCTGTTGTTGTGTGGTGATAGATGACCTCTGCCCGGGCAGATTCACCCACAGTCGGCTGGTGGAGGGCTTCAGGCCGCCTCCGGGCGCCGAGCCGGCCGGCCAGACGCCAACTCTGGAGCAGTGCCTGCGGGACGGCCGGCCCGAGTGCACCTTCCTGAACGGCCACCAGTACCCGGAGCTGGCCGTGCCCTTCTTCTGCGGACACGACAGCGAGTGCACGTGAGTCCAGCCGAATCATTGGCAATCCAACTGTTCATGTGGGCATTAGGTGCGTCCATGCATGTCCAAACGTATCCACCCATCAGCGCGCACGCCTAGAGACGCGCACACAAGCGGACATTGAACTTGCCCACGGACATGCACATCACCTTCTAGCAGGCTGAACGCCTGCAAGTGTACATGGAATGAACGGCTATGCATGCCCGCACGCCCGCGCGCACCATCAACCTACTGACACACAACTACTGACACACACCTACCAGCACGCCAGACGAGGACGGTAGTGCGAACAATTATACCATCCGTGATGTTAATATATCGTCTAGATTCTTCCGTAAAGCTACAGCAATAAGAAGTTATAAAAAACAAAACCTATTGAGTTACTCAGTATGAAGTGCCGCAAATGGACTTCGCTACGTGCATTGGATACGACCGATCTTACACACATCTATTTGATCACTTTTTCAAAAACGCAACAATGGGGGTACCCCAAGGATCCATTCGCGGCCCAATCCTTTTTTTAATGTACATAAATGACCTACCTAAATTAAACAGTAACATGACTTGTCTGTCTTATGCTGATGATACTGCGATTGTTTTCAAAAATAAAAGTATTGTCGAACTTTAAAACAATGTCAGTACGCTTTTGCTTCTAATGACTTCTTGGTTTGCTGCTAATTTTCTCTCCCTGAACGTATCAAAAACATTCACACAGCATTACACAACCCTTTCTTCGCATTTCCGACTAAATGTGCAAATTAATAATTCACCTATTGAAGAGAAAAAAGAAATTAAATACCTTGGTGTAATCATTGACAAATCTCTTAAGTTTACAAGCCACACTAATTTTGTTGCAAGCATAGTAAGTAGAAATATTGGAATAATAAGTAGGGTTAGGTACTTTATTGATAAAACAACGTCACATCTACTCTATAACACTTTGATTCTTCCTTACCTAAATTACTGCTGCTTGGTTTGGGGCATAAATTATGCTTCTCAACTAGATCGATTGGTAATTTTGCAAAAAAGGGCTGTGCGTCTTATAGAAAATGTGTATCCTCCGCAAAGCTCAGAGCCAATCTTTAAACGATACAAAATTTTGAAACTATCGGATATTGCTAAATCTCAAATGTTAATTGTGATGCACAAATTTTTAGCTTCACAGCTCCCTGCATCATTCGATTTAATTTACAATCCCTACGAATCCAATGACATGGATATGAGGCGAGCAAAACATTTAGAACAACCTTTCTCTTATCGTAATTATAGACTATTTACAGCATCCTGCCTTGGCCCTAAGCTGTGGAACGACGTAATGGTTCCGTATTTTCCAAGAATAGCTGATATCCCTGTATTGAAAACCATCGTTAAGAACATCATTCGCAAGGATTTCGTGAACACATATTAACGTAACAAACATATTTGAAGACATTGCCATCCTTGTGCCGTACATATCCAACGCGCTTCATATTTGACCTCCTTCATGTTTCATAATCAATTTCCGATATAAAGTCATGCACATATACCCAAATTAATGGCGCTGGCTCCGGGAGTTCTCACAGCAACAAGCTCTGCTTAGCTGGGTGGACTCCCTGAAATTCCAGCCCAAAACCCAGCACAAAAATGACCAGGTAATTGCCCCCTCCGACTTGTGACTGTATAACCCTTACTAACACCGGGAATTGAGTGGTTGTAGATTATTGGGCGGTTGTAGCGGGCTGTCGTTAGCTGATTTTGGCTAATGACTACTTTAAGCCTTTTCATCTATGATTTTTTCCCTCCCTCCTCACATAACACAATTCCCTCGGGTCTGCTCCACCTCCTCGCCTGTTTTTTTTTTAAGTTTGTTTCATCTTCCTAGCTGGGAGTGCCGCGACTTGATTTTATGTTTTCTGGTGTTAACGTACGGTTTACTGCGTCGCTGGGATTGAGGGAGGGGCACTCCTGGTTACCTGTTCTTGGGTAACGGCGTAGTAGAAAAAAAACTTACGTGGTCGACTTCCTTCAGCTGTCCAAAAATACGGTATGGTGCTCTGGACGCCTCGCAAGACGCCTCAGAAAGCTCTGAGAGATGCTGCACCAACCCACTGCTCTGACGAGAGGAACGGTTTGAGGCATGGCACACGATCCAAATGCCTGGTGCAATGATTCAGTGACATACCATTGCAACGGTAACCCCGAACCACACGCAATAATGCAAGCCTTCTTTAATTAGGGTCTTCAATGTGAGGGTATATGCCTATAGTCAGCATTGGTGCGAAACCGAGGTCACAAACGGCTTAACTGTGGTGTGGTGCGGCGCCATGTATGATTGCGGGACATTTAATGCTATCGCTGTCTGCTGACCTGACGGTCGACACCGCTGTCCGTTGACCAGACAGTCAACACCGCTGTCTGCTGACAAGACAGTCGACACCGCTGTCCGTTGACCAGACAGTCGACACCGATGTCTGCTGACCTGACAGTCGACGACGCTGTCTACTGACCTGACAGTTGGGGCCGCTGGCAGTGACTGATCACCACTGACCACTTTCTCTCCCGGTAGGCGGCACAACTCGCGCTGGGCGCTGGAGCGAGCCAAGCGCACAGTGGAGCGCCGCTTCGTTACAGTGGGGGTGCTGGAAGACATGAACACCACGCTGGCCGTGGCCGAAACGCTGCTGCCCAGGTTCTTCTCCGGCGCCTGGGACCGCTTCTTCATCGACCTCGTCGGCCAGATCGGTGCGTTTGTCGTCTGCTATTGAACTTAACCCGTGGGGCCGCTAGTCCAACATGAACTGCTCTCTGTACAGCGTGACAGTCGAATCTTGTGGGACGGACGAACAATATGGGACGGACAAACAATATGCGCTATCCGTTTTCATGATGGAAATATTTTTCATGACAAAGTGTTCACAAACTGTTAGGATATGCTAAACAATACGAAGAGAAAATAATTGTTTTCATGCAATTTTATGGACATTCAATAGCCAAACCACATTCATCAAATTCAAGATCAGTTTATACACGAAACGGGACTCCGTATATACACATCTCTTTCAATCCATGCCTTGAATCAACCCAAATGCTATGATAATGCCAGGCCTGACAACGGTATGCAGTTGTATCCGATGAGGGCGCTGAGTGCTGACTGCTCTACTATTATTCACATCAGTATCATGTGGAGCAAGGCATGCTCGAGGACCCTTAATAGCCATTGTCATTGGTCATTCATGATTGATCAATGATCAATTTGATCCCCTGAGATCTCAGACTAAGAGAGCTAAAGACACCAAATTTACAGGGTGTGTTGGCCTGGACTTGAACTCACTTAGGTCAAATTTTGAAGCTCCTAGTTCATGACCTCTGGGTCAAATAAGGTCAAACAAAGTCAGTTTCCGGATTAGTCTCCAAAGTGCCCCCAGAACTTCGATACCTGTCCTAAGCAAAAGATAACATGCTCATTTGAGGTCAGTGGCTTTGTTTGACCTGTCGAAGTCATGGTGACCTTCGACAATCATACAGGACTGCTTTAAGTTTTGCACTCGAATCAGCGACACAGATTGCGCTAGGTAGTATGTTCCTGAAAACACAATTTTGAACTGGGTCATTTTCGGTCAGTGACCTACTCTGACCATTGAGAAGTCTATGGAAGATGTATAATGTGGTTGCTATTATCACTAAATTTGAAATAAGCACCAGAAACTATCCCGTACAGTAAGCCTTTGAGCAAAAAACAAATGGGGTTTGACCTAGGTCTGACCTTTACAACTGACCATAGGTCAATGGAATTTGTTCATTCAATTGCTGTATTACCTGAGAAAGTATCTCAGAAAGGTGGGACTTCATCTAACAGTCCGTTATAGCATCAGATTGAGCAATCCCCTAGAAATTGCCTTCGCAGAATCCATGACCTGACTTTGACCTGCCGTAGGTCAGCGACCTTACAAGGTACATCCAAATTTATAATACCAAACGATCTGCTATTCAATTGTCTACAGCGATGTAGAATTTGGCGCGGCTACGCCGCGCCGTTCGGAAAACATTCCGGAAAAAATATTTGAGGGGTCAATTTGACCTCCACCCGACAGCGCGTTAAAAAATGTCGGCGGTAAGTGAGCTGGCATCATAGCTGCCCGTGCAAGCATGCTCTTATGATGACCAACAAATCGCAATTTCATTGACACATTTGCCTTATATATATATTCTTACATACGTCATCTCAATGCATGCGTGTTTAATGGTTTTAAATATATGCAATGCATTTCAAGACAAAAATCGCATAAAAGTTGCGTCGTTCGGAAATGAACGCAGAACTTAGGGACGAAAAAAGCTCCGCGCCGTAACCCTTCGTAAAATTGGATGTGCGTTGTGTGATGGTCATGCATACACCCACGGAATCACAAACCCTCTTTCACTTAGCAGCAAGCAGCAGCCCATGGTCACCGAGACCGGAGATCGTACCCATCCAGAGAATCTAAATGGGCCCACCGGATGCCTTCCCGTGTCGTGCGCATTCCAGCAGAGTCAATGCCTGTCGTGGGCCAGCAGGACACCTGTACGTTGTTAGAGCGATGCAGAGTAATTTTCCGTGTGTATTAACGTGATGTAATCTACCCAGAATATCTTACTGTTCCGCCGCGTCGTTACATCAAATGTCGTGCCTGTTATTTGCGTGAGGGTACGCTTGATCAGATTTCAGATATACTAGCGCCGCCGGTGTCAGCTGATACTTGTTGCGTCGCCAGGGGATTCCATGCTGATACGGCCGCGTGGCGAGCTCTCCAGCAAGGCGCGGAGCCAGCTGAGGGCTAACCTGACCACCGAGTACGAGTTCTACGAGTTCGTGCTGCGCCGAGTCGAGCAGCAGTACAACGCATTCGTGCTGGGGTCCTAGCGCTGCGGCACGTCTGCCTCCTGAGCGCACCAGGTGCCCCCACCGGAGCCGCGGCGGTGCACTGCCGGGCGCCCGGCTGCTGATCACGTCCGCGGGCGGGCTGGCTGGAGACGGCCGCTCCGCCACCGTCACCGGGCGACGAACGGACGCAGATCCAGCCGAGAGGCTTCAGATCCGGCCCAGCAGATCCGAGCGGCTGCTGGTCCGGGGCGTGTGGGTGTGTGCGTGAGAACGCCCGGTGTCAGCCTGGAGCACGGATCGACACCGGCGCCGGTCAGTGCCGAGCTACGCCGCCGGCCCCGGTGAGCACGGCCGGTCTGACGGCCGGTCTGAGCGTGCGGCTGCCGCCGTCTGCCAGCTGCGGGGCAGCTGTCTGGGCTCACACGGCGTCGGCCGGCGACCACGGCGGTCTGGGGGGACCTGCCACGGGGCAGAGCTACCGACCACGGCGGTCTGGAGGATCCTGCCACGGGGCAGAACCATTGTCGGGAGCGTCGGACGGTCCAGCAGCGCGACATGTGCGTCGCGGCTCACAGCGGCAGTCTAGTCTTTCATGTCAATATGGACGTGCTGGTTTTGGTTGGCTATGACGGACGACGCCCTCTATTGTTTATCATGTTAGAGCTGACTGCGATTTGCGTGTGCGTGTGGGTGTGTGAGGACAGTCGGTGTGATTCATATGCCAAACGTTTCGTTACTGTGATCCTACAACGACATTTGTGGCATGACTTTTGCCGTTTGTTGGCTGATGTGTATGGATAACATTTCGAGGTCTACCTGCGAGCGCCAGTGATCAGGCCCTTGATGCAACTGAAGTCTGGTGGTCAAGATGTACTTCGCCATTAATGGGTGCGAATGATGTCAGAAGGAATCAACGTTTCTGATTGGCAGAACAGATGGTGTTTGGCATCCAGCGATAAGTGCATTGTTGGTGGAAGTTTGAATATGTGCGTCAATTCACCAAGTGATGTGGCGCTGGTAGACACCTGCTTTGTCAACACAGCATGTTTGCCAGTCAAAATTTCATTCAAAAAGAGTCACTATGCTAAACGCCATATGGAGTAAATCAGAACAGCAGCATAAACATTCATTGCATTCGCGTGGATATTGCATCATATTTGTACACCGTCCTCCACAATAAATAATTTCAAGGTCTTATGACACTTATCGCACAAGCGACTCAACTGATTAGTGCATTGCAATCATGACAAACAAGGCATGATTGTAAAAGCAAAGGGAATGAAGGTCGTTACATTCAGGGTGGTATGCAAACAGTCCAATGACATTTTCCCCGCAAGAGCGGCTACTTCAAATCAAATTTCTGAGCTTTTCAGAAGGGTTTTCAGAAAACTGGTAATACCAACCAAATCAGACGCGGCTGATGCAACTATGAATGAAAGGCACAAACAAGATGACATGTTCCCTTTAACCGCATTATTTCTGGCGCTTTCTACCGGACGGGAGGAGGGGAGAGGGGGAGGGAAGCCAAGTACGCGTTGAGCCGTTTTAAAACAACATCACGAAAGAAAGGACAATGAAGTCTTTAACACATAGACAAATCCAGTGAAGACCGACATGCTATGTGTGGTGCATGATCTCCATTGGTATTCATGGAGACCTACCTTCCAGGCCACATCAGAAAACGTCTAAAGGTGGTTCATTCAGTACTGCACGGGATTTCTCTAGCCGTTGCGCCCAAACCACCCAATACAGCGCTATACAAAAACACCATGAACTTTCTCCTTACTTTACACATGACATGGTACAATCGACGGACGGCGTCAGGTCAGCCTGCGACTTCTTAGAGTGGTTCAAAAAGGATAATATTTGAAGGCGAGGGTCAATCAGCTACTTAATGAATTGTTCGGTCGAAAGTGATGCATTTCGATTGAAATTAAGCAAAAACAGTCCTTTGGATCCCATTCAACGCAATGCTGACCGTCCTGCACCTTTCGGTCAAAAGAGTGATACGAGAGACCGAGGTCACCGACCTTACTTGATCCCGGGCCTCGACCGTCAGTCACTTGATTCACAGAGACTCAGGGACCTCACTTGACTCTAGCTACTCACCGGTAGTAATGTTCCGTGTACTTGCCGTCATGTCTCCGACCTCAGCCCTGCCGTTCGCTACAGCCATATGAGCCGACATGACCTGAGACCACCTTGGCGTGTCAAAGTCAGTTTTGTACAGTTCGTGGTTTTGACACACCAGCAGAGCTACATGAAAGCTGTACTTGAATTTCTTCATATGAGGTCACACGAGGTCACTGACCTAGCTTGACCTCTGTGTGGTCAGACGCCAACAGACCATCTAATAAACCTGTCACAGCCTCTCCATTGAAGCCTTTTACAAATCGATGATGACTTACCAATTTCGTTCAGTACGTACTCGGAACAGCGAAATAAACAGCTAATACCTCGTGCAAACGTTCGAGAGGAACATCACATCTCCATTACCTGACCCGACACAAGGTCACATCTCCATTACCTGACCCGACACAAAGTCGCAATCGGTCTCAAGCAGTGAGACATGTTTGCCCGCATGTGTAGGGAAGCACTGCGGTGTCGAGCGCAGTCACTGGCTTCATCGGAGAAACTTGAGAGGTCGATTTGGACCGCTCCGATAGCGCGGCGGCTCATAAATCATGATTGGCTGCTCCGTTTGACGCAAGTGCTCCGTGCAAATGTAAGCATAGCAGTTTTTAGTTTAATGAACACCGTGCAGGCGTAGCATATTATCCACCGGATTGCGAGAACCATTGCACCCCAAATGCCTATTATTGTAAGGTGGGCAGCTAAATACTGCCCACCGTCTATCTGGATAAGTGCAAGAGCAACAAAAACGAAATAGGGTTTGATACCTGGGTACCTGAGGAGCATAAAGCATCCATCCGATGTCTACTCAACTGTTCGCGCGATTCCACGCGCCGCTTGTGGGCGGGAATTGTCTCAGAGCCCTCTGCCTCTATCAGCTCCTTCCCTGGCGGGAGCCGTCTCGTAATCCTCTGTCTCCATCAGCACCTTCCCTGGGGGGGGGGGGGGGGGGGGGGAGGGGCCGTCTCCTAGTCCTCTGTTAACATCAGCACCTTCCCTGGCACTTGCAATGGTTTGCTACCCAAGCTAACAGAAGTGCACTGACCGCAAACCACATGCACGATATTATGGCAGATTGCAGCAGCCATGATATTCGACCGCAGCGCCACCTAGGACGGCACGTCGATACCCTGCCTGCACCGGCGCGTGGTCACGGAATCTGCGGCGGCGCTGCAAGTTACATTGGTTCCTGATGATCTACACATCATGGGAATTATCAGCTCTGAATCCACCCAGGGCGACGCTTCGGCAAAATAATTCAACCGGCAAAGTATATGTCCGGCTGGTTCTGATAAGCCAATGCTACTGAGAGCGTGGGACAACGCTGCACGAAGTATGAGAGATTCATGAGTGTTAAACGGCTTACCAATCTTAACTCCGAGATCCACTTCATTTCGCTGAGACACGCTTTAATGTAACGTCGTTAGTGCCAACGCATCCGGCGACAAATGCGTCGCCACTTTGCGCAGCGAAGTAAAAGAGAAGCGCTTGTCCAACAGCGTCTGTCCGTCTGTTCCCATGTCTTTGGTCAGCCGCACAACACAAACAACTGCACGGATTCCCGCGGCATTTGCGCTTACAACTGGTTTAGCATTCATGACGATCCGTAACATATATTCACGGCCTTCTGATGTCGGTGTCGGTCACATCCCGTGCAAATGGAGAATGTTTCCGCACTTAACAGAGAGATACTTTCTTTATAGTAGGCGGAAACCAGATTCACAACCACCAAACCATCAAAAGCATTTGTTTTGTTGGGAGAATTTGGCAGCTAAATGGAAGAAAGCTTAGAAGAAAATCACATCAGCTTCAAGAAATTCTTCGACGCTGCAAGACCAATAGACACAAAGTGGAGAATCGACCGTTGGGTGAGTAGTCTCCGTGACGACAGCTCATGGCCAAGCAAAAGAACGCATTTGACATGAGCTAACAACAGCCCGGTGATTTGTTTTGCTCTTTGTTTGGAGGCTAGCATGACGTCATCTTACATCTTTTCGCATGAACAAAGACCACGCGCATCTTAAAAGGAATGTTTCACGTTTAAATATATTGAAACAAGCATCAACAGGCCCACTTATGACTTTCGGTATGTTTTTTCAGCAGAAAAGACTGCTCTACACAGCACAATTCTCTGTTTAGTAAATATGCTCCTCAATGCGTCATGATTGATTAAATGATCGTACCTTGTACAACATTGAATGAGATCCAATTGACGGTCATGGTATCTTGAAGTCGCTTCCGCGAGCGCCAGCTAACAGCGTCTCGTCAATCATATTTTTATTGGCCTTGACCTCCACATGGCTTACGGAAAGACAAGATTCGAATGGCGTTATTATGACGTCCTGAATGCCATGGTGTCTTTGAAAACTCTCCCCGATATTCTTTTCCCAATTTTCGCGGGCGCGTAGCTCAGAAATTAGAGTAGCGTAGTTCTTAAGAAGGGCATAGTTGTGAACAGCAGCAAAAGGTCTTCAAGATGGCTATTTAGTTAAAACCCCCATGTAAATGTGGAACATTACCTTCAAAACAATTTTTAGACGTTGGTTCCTGGCTTTAGTTGCTTAAGTCTTTCCCTTTAAGCCTTGAATATGACGGTCTTGAATATGAATATGACGCCTAAAACGTTATCACTGCCGTGCAGCTGATCATCTTCGTTCTTGTTGCATGGAAAACATGTTGCAATTCCAAGCAACGATAAATATAGCAACTTCATAAGGAGAAACAAGAATTAACCGGACGCAGGCACTGAAAGCCAATAGATCTAAATTTAGGTTAGCTTATCTCAGTCGTTCTTAGGCTACCTTAAGTCTAGATCTCTTTTACTGGCAATGATTGACCTTCAAGATGCCATGATATACTGCATAACAAACTTATCGAGCAAACGTTGGCTATGTTGCTAAAAATGTACTTTTTGTGCATGATGAAAACAATCAGAACCTGCTTGATAACATTATTCAATTAGTACATCCTAGTTCTGGCATCTTGAAATTCGACCATTCACGACTTTGAGAGTAAGAACCCCATTAGAGGCAATGATCTCGCCGCTGCCGCTATACTGAACGCTGCTGTTCTAGATGACGCTGCCATGCAGTTATAGGTGACGCTTCCGTCGCAGAACATGTCTAATGCTGGCGCTAGTGATGCACATCGCCGCGCCAGAATGGAGAGGAGTCAGAGAGAAATCCCTAGAAGCGGGTGGAGGTCAGAACTGATCAGAAAACGCATTGGTGTTGGTGTATCGTGCATGTAGAAGGATTTGATTCCGCTTTACATGTGTTTTGAAGCATACAGAAGCGACGCGGGTGTGCATTCAAAGATCTCGAAATGATCAGGGGCACAAAATCAATCACACGGAATTGTCTGCCTCTTATAGTTATAGTTATGCCTCTTATAGTTATAGTTGCTTATAGTTATAAACGTACGTGGCACATGACACCCATGCCACAATCGAGTCAGAGTTGTGCGCCTCGTTCAGTTGGTCGGAGTGTGACGTTCCTTTATGTAATGAGCGACTTCAAACCCATTATGACTTAACTGCGTCCGGTATTACCGCTATTCATGAGAAACAATAGTGGAAGATGGCAGATACTTCCATAGTCCCCAAAACGTTTGTGAGCCGCTGTATACAAACCAAGGTGGGATATTTATTTTACCCACACTGCCTGAGGGCGGCGCATGCTTCCCCTTGATCCTCCCTGTTTTTCCTAACGCCAAGCTGACAAACGCAAAGCAGATATATGGATGGAAGCGTTCGGGACGTTGCGGGGCTCACGATCCCCGTCACACCAACGCAGGCGCTTAGTCAGAGCCTGAACAAGAAGGGGGGGGGGGCAGGATTGACAAAGAGCCCGGTGATAGAAAAAGATTCCTGGTAAAAAAATCGTTGGATTTTAATTACTTGCCAGTAAGGCCATCTTTTTTATATTTTTGATTTCTACCTTCTTTAACTGGAAAGGAAGCCAAAGGCTACAATGAGATCAATACTGCCTATGTTGAGTCAATGAACTGGAAAAATCATGGGCAAAACGACTGCATGGAGCAAATCGCCGACGCTCTTTATTTTACAATGGACCAGTGGACTCTTTAAACCAATAGGCCTCAAAAGCTTTTGCCGAATTTCATCTGAGTCGTACAGAGATATCAAGGACCTCGGGAATT